TATTGGAGTTACAAAGTGCAAGTGTGTGTGTGTGTGTGTGTGTGTGTGTGTGTGTGGGGGGGGGGGGGGGGGTTTGATGTGAGAATCGTGATGTTTGAATGATTAATTGAACTTAATTCATATGTTTTGATGTTTCCTTGTTCTTAGAACTAGGTATTTCGATAACCTTAAATATGAATAAATTAAGGGTTTTATTACTTAATGTCTACAAGATATTAGATGAAATGTCTTAGAAGTGTTTATGGAGTTAAATTGGAAGAATTGAATCTTGGCCACTTTGTGGTAAATTTCAGCCAAGAAGAAAGTTTTGGTTGATTGATAAGTTTAACCTACTTGATAGTGAAATGATGAGGATCATGTTAGTTTAAGAGATTAAAGGTAAAAAATTGAGAAAAAAGAAAAAAATGGAAGTTGTCCTTCCATTGGCCAACTTCGATCAAGAATGATAAACAAAGGCAAAGATGGGTAATGTGAGGTTAATGTTAGTTTTGAGGATTAAAGGTATAAAATGGCATAAAAAATGGTTACGTTCACGTGAAAAATGACATGGTTATCTTGCTTAAATATTTTGACCATGATGTGTTTTTAACGTATTGTTGATGTTTATTGTTTATTCATGTTTTGGTATGCATACTTGATTGATGTGAACATGTATTTGATTTATTATTTATGTTACATTCTCTTGAGGATTTGAAAGTATGCATCTCAAGGTTTATGTTGAATGCATTGTATTTTATTTAAATGCATTTGCACATCATAATAATGAAAGAGCTTTTACACTCATGATTTTGATGAAAGGAAAATAAAAAAAGGAAAGGTTTTCAAAAGAAATTGCTTGGTACTCGCTTAAGGTTTATGGGAGAGGAATGATCACTCTCTATTGAGAAAAATGGGCATGCTTAGCATGTTGAGGTTACGGGAAGGTACCTAGTACTTTTTGTGATTTTTTACAAATTGCATGTTTTAACGAGAGGACTAATTATATATACAATCGACAGAGTGTGCTCGAAGAGGAAAATGAATTTCAAAGGCACGAAAAGCTTTTTATAAAAGTTGCATCACATGCATTACATTCATAAAAGGCATTACATGCATAGCATGGATTACACTTATTGGACATTGCTCACCTTTGTTCTTTATGGTGTAAGAGAAAAAAAAAAGATAATTAATGACCATCATTGAGATAACTTAAAGACTTGCCCTTCCTTGTGTACTTAGTATGTTAATTGGTGATGAACTTTACTTTTGCTTAACTTCATTTTGGTATATGTATTTGATAATAAGTTAAACAAATTTTGGTATGTAATAATGAATGGTATGGTTTGGATGAAAGACTTAATATTGTGTTAGAGATTATTTGTTAAGTGAATTAAATGATTATGGAAAAGGGGTGAATTAAAGGTACAAGGAAGGTAATACTCCAATGATTACTTAATTAATGAGTTAATGATAAAAAGAAAGGAATTGAAAAGGGTAGAGAATAAAGCATTAACTGGAATTAAAAGTTAGAGAATAAAGGTGTTTAATGGACTAGTTTTAAATAAATTAGGAACCAAAGTTCCTTAAGTCCAAAAAATATTTTAAATGGCCAAAATATTAGTTAAAGCTCAAAAGGAATTTATTAAATGCTTTATTGAATTTTTGGAATAATTTCCTAGCCTATGAAATTTTTATAAAAATAATAGTATTAAATCTTGATTTAACGATTCATCGCTCATGGATTATTTTCTAATTAAATATAATACTCGATAATTCAATTATTTTTTTTAAGTAAAATCAACATCAAATAATCCTACCTTATTGTGTAGAATATTTGAAAATTAAATATTTCTAAATTAAATTTTATATAAATTTCTAAAAGGAATTTAAGAAAATTAAGAGATATGGTTCAATTTAATTTAATGTAAGGTATTTTTTAAACCGATTAATTTGGATTCCAAGGATATGGAGTTTTGACTAAAATATAGTATTTAATATTTCTATATAGTGTAGGAATATTAATTGATGTTGGTTGAATTTTTTAAAAAAGTTTGTAGTAAAGTTTTATTTAGCATGGATCTATTATTTTATATTTATTAGGGACCTCATATAAGAATTGCGCACTTAACCAATAAACAAAAAATGTTAAGGAGGAGGCTTGTTGGCTTCCATTCATTACACTCCGAATGTAAATCAATATCGGTAATATTCTCGACTCGTGTAGGTTATAGATCGAGAGTATTACATTTTCTATTTTAATCGTTTTTTTTAATTTAAATAAATAAATTTTGAAAAATTTAAAAACTAGAAAAGGTGAATATCATATCTCCAATCATTCTATTTAAAAATTAAAATATAAATAAAAAACTTTTAAAAAAAGTTAAGCTAAAAATATTTTTTTAATCCAAAATTCATTTATGGGTTTAAATTTATATATATGATAATAAATAAATTTTAAGTATAAATAAAATATTTATAGTTTTTTTGTTTTTAAATATGAAGAGAGTTGTAGTTAAATTTCAACTTTTGAATGATGTTTATAATTTTATAATATCTCAAAAGAATCTACGATAATTTGCATATTTTAATTTTAGAGATTTTTTTTTAATTTTAATAAAATTAACTAAAAATATCTTAACCTTTTTCTAAAAACATATTATAAATATTTTTTTATGCTCAAAATTTTCTTATTATCATATTGACAAATTTAAGTACATAAAAGATATTTTAAATATATATTTTTTTATCTTCAATCTGTTTTTTATTTTTTTTTCAATTTTTAGAGAGAATGACTATATGCTCTTCTATTTTTAGTTTTTTTTTTTCGTCCTAATATTTATTTATTTAAATTTGGTAAAAAAATATATATTTTTTCAAAATAGAGTGGAGGGATGGTATTTTTGTTTTTAAAAAAAGTTAACACTGTTAATTTTAATTGAAAAGTTAATGGAGAGATGATATTAAATCAGAAATTGAACATAAAGATGCATTTAAAATAAAAAAAAGAACACTATAAAGACAATAGGTAGAATAGAGGAACTTTTGTAACCATTAACCCTTTTTCTGTTTGTTTAGCTTTTGCTTTTCTTATGGACCCTTAATCCTTGTTTCCTTTGTTTATGGAGTAAATTATAAATTAGTTTCTCTAGTTTAAATAAATAAATTAATTAGTTTTTCTTGTTTTAAAAAATTATTATGTAGTCACTACAATTTTCAATTTTCTTGTAATTTAATCATTTTTTTTATTTTTAGTTTATTTTAATTTTTTATTTTAAAAATAAAAAAAGAGACTAAATAATTTATTTTTAAAATAAAAACTAATTAATTCAGTTTTTTTTTTTTGAAATAAAGAGAATTATTTATAATTGTCTATTTCTCCGTGCTCTACTATAGGTCACGTGGTGCTTCATCTCATTAACATGGGTTTATCATTAAAAAAAAAAAAAGGTTTTATACTTTTAAGAAAATCAGCGACAAATTACAAGGAAAAAAAAAAAAGGCTACAAATTTATGTTGCATGTACCGTGACGATTACCAATAATTTGGCTGTACATGTAAAGATGCAGATGTGTTTATGAATGCTACTGTCATTGTTTGTATCAAAAAGGCCAAAAAAAAAAAACAAAAACTTGAGGGTTATTTTTTAAGAAATCTTGCCGTCTAACCGGTTGAGTTAGAAGAGAAAACAAAACTTTAAGGACCTTTTGCTCAAATCGAAACATAAATCATTCATTTTATTAATTAAATAAATACTCCTTATTGAAAGATCTATTAATAACTACTCTTTCTATTTCTTATCAAGCCTGACTTTTTCACTCAGCAGATCTCTCCGTCTCTCTCTCTCTCTCGCAAAGATCTCTCTTTTGGTCTCAGAGAAGACGAGGATCCATCAAAAATCAAATCAAGCGTGTTTTTATCAATTCAATTCCTTTGAGAAAATTACTAGGTACCCTTTATTCTCATCTCATCTCATCTCATCTCTATCTCCTAGTCTTCTTTCTTCTTCACTTCTCTCTTCGTTCCAGGTTTCTCTCTCTACCTTTATGCTCTTGTGAATGTTTTAAATATATGACGCCATATGCTACTGATTTATTAATGGGATTATCATTTTTTGGGTTTTTTATATTACACCTTGATCGATTGCAATGGAGTTTTGCAAGTTTTGGTTGGTATCTCTAGCACGTTTTCGGGGATTTGTCTGATTTTAAGTGTTTCTTAGTGTAAAATTTTTTGGAGCTATAAGCATGGCAATGAGGGTAAATTATACTTTTTTTTGGGCAATTTATGGAGTTTATTAAATATCTGATTTGGGTTTTGTTTTTGAGTTTTAGAGCAGAAAAGGGTCAATGATTGGAGTTTTGTATAGCAATTCAATTTATGTTGTATTTTGAGAAACTGTTCTGAATTTTGGTTTTGGTTATGACTGTACCAAAGGGAATAGTGTTATGTCCAGGGACTGGTCACTTAAGTTATTATGGGAAATAAATTAAGAATGTGCGGAAGCTAAATTAGTGGTGCAAAGTGTTTTTTTTTGGATCTGAAAATTTTAGTTTCAGATCAATTTTGTTTTTTTGATGTATTATTGTGCTGCATTTTCGTTGTGATTGTTTTAATTGACACAGACAGTTCAAATTTTAGTCTTATGCACGTAATTGACCTAGTTAGATTACTCGGTAAAAAGAGAGGAAAGAATGCGGTTTTTCTGTTCAGAAGGGCCTTTTGGATCAGCACTGCTAATAGAAAGTGATAAATAGAGGAGGTTGAAATGCCCTTTTGGATATAATTGTTTATGAATACTGTTTGTAACTTATGTATTTTGTGTAGATTATCTGATTCTGTTCTCTGGCTTCTTGCTGTTGGCATTCTCGAGCACACAGGTTTTAGGCTCAATTAGTGTTATGCAGGTTACTTTTGAATATAAATTCTGTGTAATTTCTTCTCAGGGAATTCTTCCAGCCACTGAAATGCTATAAGTGATTGCTGAGTCATATCTTCTTTTAATTGTGCCTTCTCCGCTAAAAATGTCATATGGAGAAATTCTGAAGGTTGTTTTCCCTTTACTGGAGGGTGCAGACCTTGCTTCTTGCATGGCAGTGTGTAAACAGTGGAGAAATATAGCGCAAGATGAGTACTTTTGGAAATGCGTTTGTGCTAAGAGGTGGCCTTCCATTTGCAAGAGGCCAAACCCTCCAACTGTCACATACTACAAGCTATACCAGACCTTTTATAAGCGGCAGCGTCAACAAACCCTGCTTCCCCCAAGACTTTCTTTTGACAATTTAGAATTCTTCATCGACATTTGGATTGAAGATAAATTGATCTTCTCTGAAGTGGTCCCAGGCCCTGTTTTGCAGACTGGAATCAAAACCCCACCTCCTGGAATTTGTGATAGGTTTAGATTTCAGTTTGAAGGCACTGATTGTAAGATGAGTCTACCTGTTGAGCCGAGATTCAAAGTCCCTTTAAGCGAGACTGTAAGCATTTCAGTGCTTGTGGGGCGGAAGGATTCCAATAGGGTTGCTTGCATAGTCAATAAATCTGTCTTTGATTATATAGATCGAACATCCTATAGGGCCATGGCGTTTGACTATCTTGGCTTCTCACCAGCCCACCCTTTTGTTCCAGGAATCCGGGCTTGGATTTCTTTGCTATTCATGGATGACAGAAATGACAGTGTCATTGATGTCTTTGGGATCGAAATGGATTTTTGTGATGCTGCAAAATCCAGGGATGAGGTTTTGTGGCTGCTCGACATACTTGATTGGAAGTGAAGTTTACATAACCCAAGCAGGGAGAAGAACTGAGCTCATTGAGAACGTTTCAAACTTCAAAGTTCCTAATCTTCAGTCTTTGCATGGGTCGATTTATATCATTTTAGGTAATGTTTAAATATGTACATACTTTTCATTGGTTGTCAACTTGTGTCAATAAATATGAAAATCTTTGTGATGAATTCCTAAAATTTTTGTGGCTATCTATCCACCCATTTGGAATGGGATCGCTGCACAATGTCCTGTATGTATCTCAACCCAATTTATAACAATAAATAGTCCATGAATAATATTATGTCATTTATCTTTGAGTATTTGTTTGAAGCCTTTGGTGGAGATGTGTACTTAAAGCATTTGCTCTGTATTGTTGCATGTTTCATTTGGCAATTCCTTTTGTTTTACCCGTTTTAAGGCATCATGTGGGAGAATCGCTTGACTATGGGGCTTATGCTTTTGTTTTTTCCGTTAAAATCCCAACTTTGATAGGGATGCTGGATACCTTGATATACAAAGTGAGCTCGAGCATGCGTGTTCCTTTTCAATTGGAAAGGAAGGTCACCATGAATGTGGTAAATGGATTACTCTCGAGAATGATATTGTATAGCCAATGATTCAAGTCTTGCTCTAGCTTATGATCATGACTCAGAGTTACGAGGGATGTGCTGCTAGTTTTAGCTGCCGTCAAGGCAATTCACCTTGCAAACTCTCGGCCAATTGTAGCACTTTTCAGTATTTTCATTTGTAAAGTTCTGCACATGCATCTGGGCACAATGGCACATTGGTACATCCGTCTTGTTGAAAGAGAATGGCTTAAAGGAGTGTAATGTCCCATTGGTACATCCATCTTGTATATGGTGGTGAGCACTTAGGACCATACCTCTTCGGTAGAGATTCGTCAACCTTCAATCTGTTCAGAAAATCATCAAAATAACCTGCAAGTAAAGTTGCAGAAAACTTATTTTGCATAACCTCGAATCTGGTCCCATCATATTACGGGCCTTAGTTTTAGCTCTTACAAACAATTATTTTGTTTTAAGACATAATATTTTCCAACAAATTATTTAGATAATTACGAATGTCTCTGTTCACTTGTGGAATTTTATACGAAGTCACAAAAAGAATGGCGAAAGAAACATTTCACTTACAACGCCCTTTTAAAAACTACAAACCTTCTCGAGGGCAACCATGAATGTAAAATTGTAAACGCAACCACAAGAAAAACATTGTATCCTTACTCATACAGGAATCGTATAGAAAGTTTTTTTACCCTTTTTTTTCCCCTTCAGATATAGAGAAATATATCATGGATTGGGAATGTTATAACACCTCCTAGTGGCATCATATTTAATCCAAAATGTAAACTCTAATTGTATTTTTTTTTTTTTAAGATCCTTAAACAAGCATGTATAATAGGCTAACCTGTAAACTATTTATCTATATTTATTAAACCATACTTCCTCTGTCTCGAAGAAATTATTCATGTTTCTATTTGTCTTTATTTCAAAATGATTGTCTGGTCAAAATTTTAAGCATTGTATTTTACTCAAATGCCCCTAATCATTTTTTTTTCATTTCTTACTAACAAAAAATCACTAAAACAAAATGACTTTTTACTATTCAAAATACTATTTATATACTCACAAATCACTATTCTTTTAACTATTAATGGCATTGTTTTAATTTTTAACATATTTTGAAGCATTTGATAAGCAACTTTCATGCTTTTAGGAATATTATATTTTGGTCCTTAATTTTTCTATACATTTTTTTTTGGATTTCAAACTTCAATTGCAAAATGGGTTTTTATTATTCACAATACTATTCACATACTCACAAATCACTATTTCTTCTACTATTCATGGTATTGTTATAATTTTTAACACATTTTGAAGCATTTGATAAGCAAGTTTCATGCTTTTAGGAATATTATACTTTGATTCTTAATTTTCTATACATTTTTTTTTATTTCAAACTTCAATTGTATTATGATTTAGTCCCTCGATGTAAAGAGGAGGAGGAGGAGGAGGAGGAGGAGGAGGAGGAGGAGGAGGAGGAGGAGAGAGAGAGAGAGAGGTATGGCAAGGCCTCATTTTAGAAAAAAGATGCATCTTTTTTTTAAAGAAAAAAACCTTGCTCGCACAGGCCACACTTGGCTTTTTTTTTTTCCAATGATTTTTTTTTATTATTGATTTCTTTTGTAATAAAATATGAAAAGTAGATCATGATTTTTTCCCCCCACACAATCTCACATGAAAAGAGATATATATTATATATTTTTATAATTTAAATTGAACATATATTTTAGATTATATTCCTTTTATTATTTAAAATTTACTACTTTAATTTTTATTTTTTAAATTCTCACCCAATTAATTTAAAATTATATTTATTGACGAGTTTTGATTTATTTTTCTATATGTATGGATTTTGGAATAAAATTTTAGAGCATGATAATTTTTTCTTTTGAAAAATAGATTTATATAATTTTTAAATTATAGTGGCATGATTAATATATATAATTTGTCTAAAATAATTTTTTAGATTAAAAGTGTATTTCAAATATTTTTTTCTCAGTTTTTTTGAAAAAAAAATCAAATTAGTTAATTAATAATTGAAAGTCAAATACGAAAAAAGAGAGGAATGGTTGCTCTATGCGTGAGGCTTGTATTCAAGGAATAGCCATGTATAGCATAGAAATAAAAAAATTATTTAAAGAGGAAGAAAAAGAATTCACGTGTTTTATTTGTTTCTTCTTTATATAATCAAAATTTATCGAAATCAATTTTGTAATAATTTTTATTTTAGTCTATTAACTTTAATTTTAGTCAATGTATTCCTTACAAGTTAACTTTTTTTTTTTTTTTATAGTGTTTTTTGTTTTATGCTGAAAACTCTAAACTCACTTAGTATAGTTATGATGTATAAAAAAATATTGAATCATTGTTTTTTTTTTAAAATTAATTATGTAACTACTACTACACTAAGCGTTCACTCGTTTATTTATTTATTTTTGAATATTTCAAAATTAATTTATTTCAAATTAAATAATTAAAATTATATTTTGGCTTAACCACTCAATGATTCAAATTAATATATTTTTTTTATTTTAATATTATTCATTATTTTGTGAATAAATATATGAAAATTAAATTCCAATTCTTTCAAAAATCAATATTCTCATCAACATTAAATAAAAATAAAAAAAGTAAATTTTTTTTATTTGTTCAATTCTATGTAAGTTTTTATTAATTGTTACTTTAGTTTTTTGACACAATCTTATGAAATACTAAAGTTTTTTTTTAATTTTTTTTTTAATTTTAATTTTAGTTAAGAATCAATGGATTAACAAGAATAAATCATTTTTTTAATCAAAAAATTATGAAAAAACTCAAATAAGAAATAGTTAAATACAAAATTTTGATTAAAAATTATATATATATATATATATATATATATATATATATATATATATATATATATATATATTACCTTTGTTTCATATATTTTTATATATTCACACCATAATACGGACTATCAAATTGAAATAATTTTAATTTCATATATTTTATTCAACTCACAACATAGTACGAGCAGAAAAACTAATTTTTTACTAACTAAAAAGTCAATGAATGTTTGGAAGGATATTTTAAAAAAATAAGAACAAAAAAACTATAATTAATGTTTCTTTTACATACTGTGAAAAGTCAAAGGGGACTAGTACTTTAGGATAGGAGTATTATTAGTTTTTATTTGACAATAAAAGCATTTTCAAATCAAATTACATGTTAATCAAAATTAAATTACTCTCAGAGCAACCTTAATGACATTCCACCATAATGGAAGTCTTGAGAGACACTCCTTTGTCAATCTTACATGTCATATTTTTTTCATTAAATTTAAAAAATATCGTACCTCAATTTTCAATTGGATTTTATGGTCTATTTTGAGTATTTTGGAAATGTACAGCGTACCCTATGAACATTAATTGATGGCAATCAAAAGGAAAAAAAAAAAAAAAAGGTTTTTTTTTTTTTTTTTGGTTGCTTACTCATTGACTTTCAGTTATTAATTTCTTATTACATTTGTCACTACCCAATATTTTGGTGACTTCCAAAAAATTATAAAAAATATTTTATTTTTGGTTTATTTTATTTTAGTTTAGGGGACAAGAGTTAACACATATTTTGAAGTGGCCACTTAGTGTTTAAAGAAACTAAAAAAAAAAAAAAACATGTGGGAGACATTAGATTCGAGAGATTGTAGATAAGAAGTTGGTTATACTTTTGGAAAGATAACGATCACCTAAAAACACTATTTTTAGAGAAAGGTACTACGTCTTGTTGAATATTGAAAATATATCTCCTAATTAATTTTGTCAAATTATTTCTCAAGTCTATTTCCACGTTTATTTATTTTCTAAGCAAAATTATTATTTTTTATTTTTTATTACGGGATCAAATTAAATTAGCATCAAGCCTTCGTCAATTTAGTATTAGATCAAATTGAGTCTTGACATGACCTTCATGTCAAGGAACAACCTAATTACCTAATGATATTTGGTTTGTATTTTCCTTGATTGATTTTTTCTTTTTTTGTTTGTTTGTTTTTGCTTTTTGCTTGAGGTATCGAAAATAACATCTGTCTCTATTAAATAGGATACTTGTTAAGTTGACTTGAATTTCCTAATTATTCCAAGAAGATGTATTTTTTGGGATAATGAATTTGATAAAGGATCGTCATCAATCCTTAGAATCTAGAAGACTTGACGATCTTTCATCCTATTAACTAAACGAGTGAATGCATCACATTAAAAATTACAACGGAATAAATTATAAATAAATAAAAAATAAATTCCAAAAATTATAAAAAATTAATACACAGATCAAGAATCAACATTGATGGCAACCCTTATAATTTCAGATTAAAATAACCAAAGGATACCGAGCATAATAAATTAAATTCTAAAACCAATCACATTAATAATTAAAATTGATGCCAAATGATAAACAAATTCAAAATAAATAGCAAATGAAATCATAAAATTATAAAAATTATGACACCAAATATAAATGGACATATCTACAATTCCTAGGAGTTTCAAATTAAAATGATAAAGGATGCTAGAATTAAAAATCAACTTCCGCAATGAAATGCATTAATAATTAAGGTAAATGGTAGAATAATGATAAATACTAAATAAATGGAAAATGAATTCATAAAATTATGAAACTTGACACACATTCCATATACAAACACATAAGAATACCTAAAAGTTTCAGATTAATAAAAAAAATTAAAAACTAGGATAAATAATTAAATTCCACAAATGACTAATAATTAAAATGAAGTAGAATAATGATTAAATAGCAAATAAATGACAAATTGACTTCTAAAATTATGAAACTTAAAATACATGTCAAGAACCAATACATGAAAAACAATCCTAAAATATCATATTAAAATAAAACCAAAAAGTAAGCTAGCTAATTAAATTGCATAAACAAATGACATTAATAATAAAAATAGGATGGAATGTTAAATAAATCCAAAATAAATAGGAAATAAGCACTTAAAATTATGAAACTTAAATTGCTTGGTAAATACTAATACATGAACCAACTCTAAAAATTTGAGATTAAAATAAAACTAAATAGATGGCTATATAATTAAGTTCCATAAACAATCAACAATAACAATTAAAAATAAGGAGACTATTAAATAAATATCAAATAAATAGTAAATGGATTTTTAAAATTATCAAATTAAAAACGTAAACCAATCATAAGCACACGAGTGCATCTCATGCTAATATATGTGATCAACGTTTTCCTAATTTTCTTGATATTCCTATTCTGTCGCCTCAATCGTGCTTATTCATCTTAGGTCTTTATGGTGATGAA